CAAGTTATGCTTAGACCCAATCTACCAGTCATTTCTAAGGCACTCATCAGTACAGGCTCCAGAAGTGTCAATAATGAATGAAATGGAAACTACAGAGCACAGCTGCATTATAAAACAGTTCAATAAAAACATTTGCCACCTCTTTGGGTTCTGGGAGGTGTGTGGAACAGCTGGAAGCAACAGCTCATCAGTGGCCTTAGGCAAGTTACTAGGTCTCAGGCTAGTATCCCATCTGCTTTACGGGAATAATAATAATTAAACCCATACACACGCACACACAAATCCTCTATAGAAAATCAAAATGTTAAATTGCAGTGTCTTTTAACTTTTGGCATTGTAGCTGATCCCTGGAAGAAGCTGAACAGAACCAATAAGTACTTTTATAGCTGGATCAATGGTCATAGTAAATAAACTTGGACTTTTTCACAGGGTCAGAGACCAACACCATTGTTTTGATCAGAAAACAAATGTATGCATCCCTCTTAAAACTGATTTACAGCACACCTGTTTTGTTCCAAAACCCACACCTCAGAAAATCCCCTGCTATTCTTCACGAAAGACCAAACAAGAAAAGCAGCAGTTGTAAGTGATCCACGCAGATTAGCACGTTCTCAAATCCCCTTCTGAAACATAATACCCCACCCAATTAGGACATTATGAGTCTTGCTAAAACAATGCTTCATTAAGCAACAATAACTGTTCCAGACACTCGCCACTGTTGCACAAGAATGCCATTAATAACACAACAAATAAATGTCTACTAAGACCTACCCACACCTATGGCACTGTTGAGTTAATTACTATATAACACCAATACTAATGTACCACAACTATTAAGTGTTATTTCATCCCTACTGTCTTTCTTCATAATTTGTTATTTAAAAAAGAGAAACAGTTCTTTATAATATAGGTCATTAAAAAATATCTCTAAAACAAAACAAACAGATTAGTAATATCTGTTTAAAGAAGAGGTTTAACTTTTTGAGTCCATGGCTCCCTTGACCAATTACCTTCTTTCTGCAGCTCCCTTGTGGGGCTCAGGAGCCCAGTTATGTCACCCTTGCATGCAAAGCTGGCAACCTCTCACCCTTTTTCAGACACCCTCCCTTCAGCCTCCTCTCCCCTCCCCTCTCCTTGGGAGTCCTCTGCTGCTGCCCCTGGTCTCTCAGTTGCCCCCCACCCAAAGAGAGGTGCCTTCTCACACTGCCCCACAAGGGCCTGGGACTTGTCTGTCCATTCCCAACAGCAAGGGCTGGCTGGCTGGGCTCCCTCACCTGCTTGCTTGGTTATTCTGAGGCCACCTCAGCTCCTGGCAACCAGCACCCCCTGACCAGCCCCAGAGGCACCATTCGCCTGGGGAGCTTGGAGCCAGGGCTGCTGCAACAAACAGCCATACAAGCCTTTGGGAGACAGAGATGCAAGAGGGCATCAGAGGGAGGGAAGGAAAGAGGGGCAGAGGCCAATGTTGCTCACAGCACCCCTGACCATCATTCAAGGCACCCCAGGGTGCCACGGCACAGTGTTGAAAACCACTGGTTTAAAGCAAGAAAAGTATCAAAAACTCTGATGCAAAAGACCTACTGCCCTATATTTAAACATGTATATTAATACATTATCTACCATTTATACAAAAAGGGAGAACAAATGTGATCAGATTTTTCTTAGAGACAGGTATCCATATACGTTAAAAGCTTAAAATATTATGGCTTCAATTCTAAGGAGACTTGCTTGGGAATAAACACAGTGGATACAGAGGGACTTCTTTATAAACATGCACAAGAACGTGCTGTAAGGCTCCAGTAGGAAGTGGGGCCTACTGAAATCAGTATGACCCACTTCCAAGTAAGCATGCAGAACAGGCTACTTACTGCCTGGTGATCAAGCTGCAAAGACCACTTATAGCAGATGGGAACAAATTCAAAGAAAGAACTGAAATTTAATATGCAATGTTGTTTTATTTGAAGCTTAGGTGTCTAATGGGAATGTATTCTTGAATCAAACTGCTCATGGAGAAGTTGCTCAAGGCATTTGAATTTAATGGAGATCACACTAAGATCACTGTCTTCAACATCCCCCCCCCCCCACTGAAGCCATATTAACTTACCTTTTGAATCAGGGATTTCATCTCATTAATACATATAGTTCTTTGATATGAATAATAGAAATTCATTGTTACGGGCTCGATTAGCTACAGGTTAAAAGTGCAAGCAAATATTGTATTTTTTTATTTTTTTTAAAAAAATATTTTATTGCATTTTGAGAAAACAAGAAAAATAACCAAGCATATATCAAACACAGACATCATGACTTACAACTCTATAGAAAGAGAGAAAAAGAAAAAAGAGAAAATCCCAATTTTTCATATACCTTTTCCATAGCCATCTGGACTTCCTCACATTTCCCTTTCCTGCGTTCTCCATTAAAAAGATATGTTCAGCAATTTATTACCTTCTTTCCAATCTTATATTTTAATTCTAATATGTTATGTCTCTGATTTTAAATGTTTCCATCAAATATTTAACTACTTAGTTTAGGCATAACTTTACTTCAAATCTCGTCTTTATTTTTTAACTTATTTTCATACGTTTCTCATCTAGGCAGCTGATGCCATAATCCTTCCATTCATGCACTTTCTTAACATTCATACAATTTATAAAAAGTGCAAGCAAATATTGTATATGGGAAATATTAAAAGAACCCAGGAGCAAAAAAAGCACAGCACCCAACACTCCCCTAGTTTTTGTGTCTTGTTCAGTGTGGTATAATGTAACACCCCAAAGAGGGTATTTTGGGTACATACTGATGTCCTCCAAACAATTTTTTTTAAAATTTAAATAAATCAGGCCCTTTTGTATAACCATAACAGTGTCATATTGCCTCTGTTCTCTAGGAGGCGCTAGACTTAATTGTACTGGGGTAGAGTCGGGTGGAAAAGAAACAGGATGGAGGTAGAGTTGGGTGTTTCCTGTGGCTGTGTTGTTTTTTGTGTTTGAGAAAAATAACACAGTTCTTGTTTAGCTGCCAGATGACTGTGTCCTCCAAGCATCCATGACATTTGGGACATGTGATTTAAAAGTATGCATGTACATAAATGCCCACGTAAGATGTACAGTCGCCTTGAGAAATGGCTTAAAAGGAGGTATGCAAAACATAAGGCACCTTGAGAAAAAATAAGTGGACTGCAAGTTTGAATGAACAGTATGCCTCTCATCAGCCAGCCTTCGTTTTACATTACTGCTATTTTTCTAAAAACTTTAAGGACACCAGCCCCCCCCCCAATTCTAAGCATTCTATTGCTCTACCCATTTGACCTTAAGGGTTTTACTATTGAAGTTAATTTATCCACTATCACGCAATATGAAAACAAATTATTCTTATTATTTCTTTCATCTGTATACCGCCCATCATCTGAAGATCCAGGGTGGTTCACAAAATAAAAAATACAAAACAAGAACACAAAATCCATAATAAAACAAAACCAAAGCAATAACACCCCCCCCCAAAAAAAATAGCCCAACACATTTAAGAGGTCATGCAATGTTAATCCGCCAAAGCCTGGTTATAGATGAACAAATGATGTGTTGCAAAATTAGATGGCTGTTAGCATGCTAGCAACCAAGTAAAGATTTTTTGGGTTGATTAATTGTGTGGTTTTTAATTATCTAAACCTCAATAAAAGTGCCTTCGTGAGACTATTGATTTAACAGAGGTTGAACTCTGCGACTAATTCTGCTTCTGCTCCTGTCGTGCGGCAGGTGGATGAATCTGATTTTAAGAGCAAAACAAATGCACTGTAATACCAGTTCCTAAGAATCGCAGGTGGGCAGTGTTATTGCGCTCGGGTTGGGCCTGCCTGCTTTCCGAAGACATCTGTTTGGCCATTGTGAGAACAGGATGCTGGACTAGGTGGGCCATTGGCCTCATCCACTGGGCTCTCATTTCTGATGTACAGGCGAGGGTTGCTTTCCACCAGTCCAGTCTTTCTACTAGTACTGCTTAAAAGCTAGACTCAGATGCTGAAAGCAAGCCCACCATGTTTGAATGACTTACTCCCAAGTAGCCTTACAACCTGAATGTACACCATTAACCATGTAGGTTTTGCATTTGCCTTCCAGATCAGTTAAACAAAAAACAAAAAAAGACAAATGTTAGCCTCACAGGTGAAAATAGCCTGGAATTCTTAACCCTGTTCTCTTCCACATGAAACACATCAAATATTATTGTGGCACTTGAAACAGGAATGATTTTTATCTGGTGAGAAGGGAGACAACCAAATCACACCAACTCTGCCCTTCCCATCATGTGGTAGCTCTTCACCTTATCCTTACTCCTTGGTCTCTCCAACCATGGGTGCTCAGATGATCTTGGACTATAACTCCAATCTTCCCCAAACAATTTAGCCAATGGTCAGGGATGATGGGAGTTGTAGTACACCAACACCTGAGAACTTAAGGTTGAAGAACACAGCCCTAGTCAAAACTTTGTTGGATAGCATAGCTCTCTTATTTTCCTGTCCTGCCAAGTCCCTCTAAGATATACAGCCGGGTGTCCTTTCCTTACAAAGCAACGGCCTCCCCTTTTACAAGACCATTAACTCCAGGGCTTGTGCCGCGTCCGTTATGGGTTGGAGTGAGAAAAGCCTCCTTGGAGTCCTCGGTTTTATTTTCTCCTCACGTCGGAAGAGCAGCCCCATCCATTTTAAACTAGGAGCCATGAGAATGTCTACACACTTGGGCAAACAAAAAAGCACTAGAAACCGGAGTCAGACCTTTCCCCCCTGTCGACAGAAAGAGGGCGTCAGTGGAGAGGAATGTGAGATGACCAGGCGCGCATCGGCTTCTGTTCAAAAAGAGAACGGGGGGAAAAAAGGGGGGGGGACTAGGCTGGTGTCTTGGCAAATTGGAAACTCCCTCCGTTGCCTGCCGTGCACCTTCAAGAGAAACTCGCCCAAACTGAGAGGGCGGAGGGGAAGGCTGGAAAAGAAACTCGGGACCACTTACTTTGCTGCGTCCCCGCGCGCTTGGCCGTCCGTCCCCTCGGAAGCTTCGCCTAGCATGGGAATTGGCGCGGAGGCAACTGCGCGCACCGGGGGGAAAGTGGCGAGCTTCAAGTTGCAACACGGCTCCCCTCCTCGCAGGTATTTCCCGTCCTCCTCGCGCTCGCTCTCAGGAGCGTTGTGGGCAGGGATGGGCGTGGAAACCAGTTCCAACATGCTCCAGAAGCGCAAACCCAGCCCTGGCGGCCGCCGCCAAAAAGGAAAGGAAAGAAAAGCAGCAGCAGCAGCAGAAGTGGAGCAAGAGCTTGGTTGAACCCAAAAGACCCAGCCCTTTCCCGAGCAAAGTACATGCCTCCTTTCCATTGTCAGCTCAGCAGCTGCTGCGGCTTCAGAGGGGCGGGTGCTGGAAGGGCGCCGAGGGCAAGAAGGTGGCCTCAGAGGAAGTGGGAGACTTCTTAGGGTCTCACCAGGGCCGTCCCGTCTGTAAGGCCCAACGAGGCCCCCTCCCACAGAGAAGCCAGCTCTCACAAGAATTGGCTTCCATCCAGGCATTCATCACATTTTTTTAAGGCAGCACGATACGTGCCTCCTGACAGGGTTGCCATATTTCCGGACGTATGGCAACCCTCCTAGTGCCCCCTTCACTGGAGAAGTTCTAGGTTCTGGTCACCTGCAGGTGCTTCTCCTTGTCTCTCTGATGAGGGTGGGTGGGCAGGAGGCACCTATTGTGGTGCCAGAGAAGTCCTCTACTGCCTCTGCCTCCACAACAACAATTTATTTATACCCCACCCATCTGGCTGGGTTTCCCCAACCACTCTGGGTGGCTCCCAATAGAATATTAAAAACACAACAAACATCAAACATGAAAAACTTCCCTAAACAGGGCTGTCTTCAGGTGTCTTCTAAAAGTTAGGTAGTTGTTTATTTCCTTGACATCTGATGGGAGGGTGTTCCACAGGGTGGGTGCCACTACCGAGAAGGCCCTCTGCCTGCTTCCCTGTAACCTTGCTTCTCACAGGAAGGGAACCACCAGAAGACCCTCGGAGCTGGACCTCAGTGTCCAGGCAGAAAGATGGGGGTGGAGATGCTCCTTGCTACCATAAGAGAAGCGTCATAAGAGAAGCGAGGAGAAGCTACTATCACTCCTCCTGTGTTGGTGGTGTCTTCACCGCTGGAAGCTGTGCAACCAGTGCTATTTTTCTATATATAAAAAAGAGATGCCAGAACTCACCATGAACTCCTGCCTTCTTCTCTTACAATGGCTATGGCACCCACCTGAAAGGTGCCAGAACCACGTTCCTGTGAGTTCTGGCTGAAAAACAAGTCCTGTGCACAGACTTGGGTTCAGGGGTCAGGGAATGGCAGAGGTGGCAGTTGCCAGGTGAGACAGCACCTTCCTGTTTCGCTTCAGGCGGCAAAATGGGTCAGGCCACCACTGGTCACTTCAGGGTGATCTGTAAATTCCGCTGGTTTATATCGATTCAGTTCAAATGGTAATTTATTTGCCAATGGCAAAATAAAACCACCTCTGCTGCTTCATCATCTGGTGTCTCCAAGACTTGTGGTGAAAGAGACTGATAACAAAGAGTGAGCAAAGCGAATGGTGACTGCACTGCTTGCCTCCTGTCTCTGAGGTGGAGTGAAGACTAACTAGCTGTGAGGGCCCAGATCTCCCAATGGGTTCTCTCACACTAGCAATGGTGCATTTTCCAGTCACAACTAGTCATAAGTTGGCAGTTGTGAGTCCTCTCAAGGAACTGAGGCCTTGGCACTGGCTTATCTGTGATCGTAGTTTTGGCAATGATTGCACCAAGCAAACTTGAGTTCTGGTATATTTGCATACAAGAATGAATTAAGTCTCATAAGAATTCTTTTGTGTCTAGTAACAATGGAGAAACATGCACAAGTTGTCTTCCCAGGTTATGTTTGTGCTCACGATGCACACATGTAAGTACTGCTCAAAAACTTCTTTCATGTGAAAATCCTGCAATGTGTACACAAAACATGCAAGTGATTTGCACATCCGGAGTTAAAGTTGATGCAAAAAAGCCACCTTAGAAAGCACTTTGTTGGTATGTGGATTTTAACTGTCTGAAATTTAGGCTGCCCATATTATTTCTATTTATTAGAGAACTGTAACCACATGTGGCTATTATTATTATTATTTCCATTTTACAAAAGGGAAACTGAAGCTGAAAGATAATGACATTCATAAAACCATATATCAAGGGAAATGGACTCTCAATAGAAGTTTTTATGTTTTGGATTAAGGAAGTCGGAGACACTTCCATAAAACTGATTTATTTTAAAGGACTTCCTTCTTACTCTAGAACAGTAACATTCTACAAGCGTACTTTATGCCTCTCTCACCAGAAAAAGAAGTAGCTACAATAGGTAGGTGGGGGAATTAGAAGAGGGGGGAGGAAATGGGGAAAATATTTAATTTGATTTTTTAAAAAGTTTATTTGGTTGAAGAGTTCAGTAGTTTTGAGGATGTTGAAATGAAAAGCAACTTTCTACTAACAGTCTGATTCTTATGTGTAGAAGAACATTTAATCTATAGCAATCCAATTAAAAACACTAGCACCATTTAATTAAATTAAATGCATATGTAACATTTCCAATACCAATTTCAGGAAGTGGTGCTTAACAATTCAATGAGCAGGAGGCAAGGCAGTCATTCTCAGGTTTTCAGCTGTGTTACTGGTTTTCTAGGAAGCTTCTTGCAGATGATTTTTTAACAGTTTTAAGGGGTGAATATTCAGAATTTTGCAGTGGCAGGTAAAAACTATGGATATGCTTCTGAAGGATTTCTGTTTATAAAACCCTTTGTGAGATACAGTTTACCTGGTTATCTGATCGACATTCTTCTGCTCTGCTTTAGGAAGGATGGCCAGCACACAAAGGGGTTGTTTATTCTTCAACTAGCAGCAGAGTTCTATTATGTTATTTGCTCTACAAAGAGTCTTTCAAAACACAGTGGACTAATAAGCTTACTTTCCTGAACACCTGTTATATTCCATCTCCTCCTTTTTCTAATGATATATGCCTTCTCTCTTTGTTCTGTGTTCAGCTTACACGCCACAGAAGATGACACACAAGTCATAAATTACAGTTTCTATGTTTCTTGGTCCATGATGAGCAAACACTTCTCTTAATTAAAAAAACAAGCAAACGAGAATTTGTAACGGTGCACTGCTATGCATTCATTCAGGAGCAAATCCCTTTTAGTTTAGTAAGGCTTCTTCTCAGGAACATGGGTATAAAATTGTAGCCTCAAAGAAAGCAATCCTAGGGTATGGTAGAAGTTTGTGTTATCAACAACCTCAAAAGCCCATTTCACAGTCAGCGAAGGAAACACCAAGCTAAAGAGTACAGTGGTACCTCAGGTTACATACGCTTCAGATTACATACGCTTCAGGTTACACGCTCTGCTAACCCAGAAATAGTGCTTTAGGTTAAGAACTTTGCTTCAGGATAAGAACAGAAATTGGGCTCCGGCGGTGCGGCAGCAGCTGGAGGCCCCATTAGCTAAAGTGGTGCTTCAGGTTAAGAACAGTTTCAGGTTAAGAATGGACCTCCGGAACGAATTAAATACTTAACCTGAGGTACCACTGTAACAGTAATGAACAGACCACATTTTAGAGAATGAAGCACATGGCAAAGGCATGACAAATGGAAAAGAAAGCAGATAAAAAAGACATTACAAAGCCATATAAATAACATTATTCCCACCAATAGTGGCATCTCGGCTAAGTCAGCAGCAGCCTAGACTGACAAGTTCACTGGAACCTTCAAACATGTGTGCAAGACACAGTAAATATTAAAGGCTAAAATGTAAATCACATAACGTGAATTTAGGAAGAATATCTGAAGGAAAATGTTTTCAAAGCATTTTACAAAGTAAAATTGGACGACAATATAAAACAACCTATGTAGGGGCTCAAGGTCTGTCAGTTCTAGCATACCATCTATCAAAAGCTCATAATATCAGGGTGTATTGCTATTGGCAAATGTCATCATAAACTTATAGTGGTACGGGCAACTAGAGGTCTCTGCAGGCACGGCATGGCCAATTCCAAAATGGGCACAATAGGATCCCTCCATTCTGCTTAATCTCTAGGCTAGGAGGTCACAATTAGTAGTCTCCTTCAGATCAGTTTTGTATGGGAACGTTCTTATTCTAGCAGTTATCCTTTGATAGAAAATGTTGTTTCCTGACCCTTTAGTGCCTCCTGAAATCTTGCACTTTAAGCAGGGTGTGCCCAGGGTATGCCTTGGGGATTCAAAGAAATACAAGAATTTAGGTAAAGGTAAAAGGACCCCTGACCATTAGATCCAGTCGTGACCGACTCTGGGGTTGTGGCGCTCATCTCGCTTTATTGGCCGAGGGAGCCAGCGTACAGCTTCCAGGTCATGTGGCCAGCCTGACAAAGCCGCTTCTGGTGAAGCAGCGCAGCGCACGGAAATGGCGTTTACCTTCCCGCCAGAGCGGTATCTATTTATCTACTTGCACTTTGATGTGCTTTCGAACTGCTAGGTTGGCAGGAGCAGGGACCGAGCAATGGGAGCTCACCCCGTCGTGGGGATTCAAACCGCCGACCTTCTGATCGGCAAGCACCCGTGTCCCTCTACAAGAATTTAAAGAAACATTAAAAAATGTGTAAATGGGAAGTGTAATTTGTGAAGTTTGGGGCTGTGCACACACTCACAAACTGACACACAGTACCTGATGACATCCAAACATACATAAAAGTCATTTCCTCCAACTCAGGAAGCCTTGTTTTTAACTGTCATGCCAAAGTCACATTTGATTTCCCATCTTAAGTTAAATTGGTGTCTGGTGGCTAAACACAGACAAAGATCCCCACTTCCATCTTGGGAACTCTCATACACTGAAATATGCCACAACAAACAGGGGTGGGCAGGGATTATTATTTTTTAAAGCCATTCTAAATGAATCATCAAATGTAATATGTGTTAGAAGACATCTGAAGGCAGCCCTGTTTAGGGAAGCTTTTAATGTTTGACAGACTATTGTATTTTAATATTTTGTTAGAAGCCACCCAGATGGGCAGGGTATAAACAATTCATTATGATGATGATGATGATGAGCAGGGAGCTTGCTACAGAACACTACAAGCTATGACATTTCAATTGGTTTCTAGTTAAATTCAGATTTTTTAACTATATATTGAGTCTGTTGCTTGTGGATGACATCTATTT